AATACGCGACGCAATACTGTTTTCCTTCAGTAGACGAAACCGATTTCACCACCTTTAACACAACAAAAGTTGACTTATTTTGTCAGGTGAACTCTTGTATGATTTCAGCTCATGTGTATAAAGGGCAGGATCACCTTTTCGTGATTTAGATGACCTCAGCAAGCTTTACTTGTTGGAAGTGTTTTGAGATAATGTTCATGCTCGTTTCCATTATCATCATCGCCGAAATTTCGGGAATCCGAATTACCAGTCTATCAACTAACAGTCCTTCATCACTTTTAATGAAATAGGGTGGACATAACTTATAGTCTCGAAAACCTACTAAAAACTGGGTATAAGTAAATCCTTCTATGAATTCAACTCACGTGTACAAAGATTGAGATACATAGAAGTGGTTTGAACCCTTGTGAGCGATCTAGGGACATTGCTAAGAACGCATATTAATTTCCATCATTGTGCTCATCATCATCATCACCACCACCATCATTATCATTTTAATAAAAACTTTTGGAATCTGGACTAGGGCGTATTTCCTCAAGTCTCGAAATCTGTCACCACTCCACCTGGCAATGACATCTGAACTCGTAACGAGGTCGGCTGTTCTGCTGCCTGACGGCAAGAAAATGAAAGATGTCTACGCTGTCTTGCGCCAGAGTTCCAGAGTGCACATACAACTCTTACTCACACTCTCAATTCCAGGCAAGCCATGTGGTTCAGCTCGTCTCCTTTCAACTATGCTTTAGTTTCCTTAACGCAGACCAGACTCCCTATTTACCATATTTCCCTCCTTATCTCAGCATGAGGTATGCGCTCACGTCCTGTAAGTCGGCGGGGCTGGTGGGCGTTCGGTGGAAGATGGCTGCTTTTCAGCATCATTCCGCATTACATGACAACCGAAGTCTGGCTCGCAGTGGACAAAGTAAAGATGTGGGTTAACTGGACGGATAGTAAATTCGGATAAAAATTGGGTTGCGATGAATCTCTTCGCTTTCAACTGTTGAGCTTACTTTCATTTCGAGTGAAACGGTGTGTGATGAATAGATTCGAAGATAGATTCCATCGAATGAAGAGAGCGGTTTCCTTTCTTAGATCAGTGTTTTTCAGTGAATCTTCGTTACTGATGGCTTCCCTCACATAAAACTTGTAAGCTTAGCAAAGATTACTCGGTGCTGCAGAACGATGAAATGAGGTATCCTTCGTACAATCACACTTTGGTGCTCGATGAGGCCAATATATGGGTGAAATCCGGTTGCTCTTCATATCTTAAAAGTAGGCTGTCCTGTTAAAATAAAAATATCTGCCTAAAGACGACATCCATTGTCATTTTCTTCTAGTTCACATAAGATAATAAAGTATATATATACATTTATATATAATTTTTTAATTTAAAATATATATGAATTCAAATACAACGGGAATCTTAAGTTTTATGATTACTAACTAAGAAAGGTAGTATCTCTCAAATAAGAACCTTGTAGCGAATACTACTCTTAACGAAAATAAGTAGCCTCATCGACATTATTAGTGTAACTGTGAGTTGAGAGGCCAGGCTAATCATTTCATTTAGAAAGTTTTCATTTTCAGACCTTTAATTAAGAACCTAAGTTAATTTAGTTGATATTCGACAGATATGAATACATATTCAGTGTGTATCACAAATTTATTGGCTTTTCAGTATTTTTTCTTGCTATCGGGATTTTCAGTGAGGTCAAGATAGACCAATATGATACTCCTAAATCTCAGTTTCGTTCAAATGGTTGGCATGGAGCTTATATTTGCCAACAAGATGGCTTCTGAAGAATCCGTAATCCTTTTCCAGTGATTATGCACCTTATTTTTTATGAATAGTTTGACTTAATAGCTTCGTTAATGGGTCCGCCCCAGGACGAGTTTGTAATCTGTGAATGCCTTGGAGTAGTGATTGGAGGGTGGTAACCTCAATCTATCCTGCCCTGACAGTCATCTTCATTTTTTCAGTGTCTACCAGTTTTTACTGTATCTCCATCGTGTGATGAAGGCTTGATTATTGTAGTGAACTCAACTAGCATATGCATTGCCGGAATCCGTCCTTGCCGAGGGTTGACCGAGGTTTTAATCGTGCCTTTCGTTTCATCTGCAGTCTAAATGGGATTCGAAAAGAGGACGAAGGGTTCAAGAGAAAAATAAATGAGCTACACAGCAGAACGGCCTTCTAGAATGGATGGCGAAGTAAAAATCAGTGACAAAATAAAGCCTTCTCTTTAATTTATCGTATTCATTTCCGTAATCACTCTAATTAGAACCGAGTCAAAACTCAATTTTTTGAGGGCCCTTTACCAAAAATTACTGCTACTTAAGCGATTGTCGAACTCGCTTTTGCCCTCCCGACTTCAGCCTCCCCTTCACACCTTTTTTCCATTTCTTCTCTTCCGTCTTTTCTCTACTTTCCTTTGAATCACATGCATCTACTGCTCATATTTTTCATCATATCTTCTTTATTCTCCTCATTCATCCTTATTCCGGTTTCGCATTCACTCCTCTTCCTCTCCCTTATTATACTCCGCATGTCAGCCTCCTCATTCTCTTCTTCCTATCCGATTCTTAATCCTCTTCATTATACCATACTGATAATTACTTTTCCTTTTCCTCCCACTCATCATATCATTCTTATTCTTTACCTCTTTCAACTTCTCATCCTCATTTTTTTCTCGCTTAATCCTTCTCTTTCTCTCTCTCGTCCTTTATCATCAATTTGTCTAATCCTCTTCTTCCTTCTCCCATTCTACTTTTGCTTTTTGTACTCCCTATCCAATCATACTAATTAATCCTCTTCCACTCCTTTGCTCATTATTTTCCTCGCATCATCCTCTCTTAGAATTTCTCTCCATCAGTCCACCCCTATCTGTTTTTATCTTCTCCGGTCCTAGCTCCCATTTCGCCCGTGATTTACCCGCTTTTTCCACTCCTTCCAATCATCTTCTCTTCCTCTTCCTCCTTATTCATTTCCTCGTCTCATCCTCATATTTTTCATTCATTGTCCCCTTCTCTTCCAATCCCCTCCTTCGCTTCGCCCCACAATCCCTCCTGCTTTACTCCTTTTCCTCCCAGCTCCAATCTGTTCATGGTCAGGTGAACAGAAGAGCAGACTTATGTTGTCTGATGTCTACTTTGCAATACTTTTCTGTCTTTTACTGGAATCGTGACAGGCGTAAGTTGCGCCTTCCAATCGTTTCGACCACCATGCGGCATATCTACCCTTGCCTGGGTATCTTGCTGCTATGGCAACTAGTAAAACCGGGGAGTGGATAGCAAATATGGGGAGGCTAGAACGCACTCGGAGGTAAGAGTGCTCTCAGCTCTCAGCCACAGCCTCCACTGCAACTTCGACATGTGCATGTGCATTAAATCACAACCGCTCTGTCTGTGCCTGGGATGAATAGGATCGCAATACATAAAAATCATCATATTATGGCCTCTTGACTTTGTGAGGGGAGGAAAACATACACTGATCGTAACTTGTTTGCCATATTTGCCGTCAAGCCAACTGCCTGGTGGTTTTTGCTTACACTACCTCGATATCTGCTTCTGCAGTCCGTGCCGATGTTTTGTCTCACGGCAATCGGTTCGGCATTTGGCCCAGGTCCGAGTGTGTCAGAGAGACGACGGAAGCAGCGTCGCCAAGCAGGAGTCTAATTGCCTTTTTGCGCATAAAACAAACACCTCTGAGGTAAATAACCGCTAGCCATTTATTTTTTATTTTTCGCAAGCACCCAATGACACAGAATCGGAGAAATTGGACCCTTGTGTCGACTTAGTGTGTCATTTGAGTAGAATATTTCCCTCAATACGATAAGCACTGAGTAATCAAGACATTCGACTGTAATTATATAAAATTTCATATGAAAAAATATGAATTATGTCTATTAAGACGATTTAAGGACTGATAGCTGAATAGGCCTTATGACGTAATTATACTTCCCAAACTTATTAAATGCTCACTACTTAAATAAATCGCAAGTAGTGTGGTCGACGGTAAAGGCAAATGAATGCTTGCTCACTCGGTAGTCCCACAGTAAAAATGCCATTTCGGTGAGGCCTGACCTACCCTGCGACACCCTAACAACAATGACTAATTTGTGGAATAGCCAGGTCAGCACGAAATTCATGATCCGTTATAGAGTGCTTGTTGGAAGCAATTCTAAGTGAACTTGAACGGTATTATGAGGCCTGTGGGAAAATTCAACTATCCTTGCCTAACTGTCCTTACCTGAACCAAACGGACTAAATGCTTTTGTTAGTATTGCTGACAGATTCGAAAAACACGTACATGCAAATAGTTTGCCAATGTTAACCGGGGAGACTGTCCTCTGCTTTGATTGCACCGAAGACAGTGATTCTATGTTGCTCTCCTCGCCACTCCTCTTCCGGTGGACTTGACGGGGAAGTGTATTAACAGACTCTTCAAGTTTCCTCAACTCCTTCTTCACTTTGACAACTGCAATCCAAGTGGGGCTTAAAGGATGTACTTTTTTAGCTCTCTTCTGCACTCATGAAACCTGCTGTGAGCGTCTGATGCTTGTGAACATCAACACAAACCTTCGACCGGCTTTGCGGTGACGGAAGTATTAATATGAATTACTGCATTTTGCTATAGCATTCCAGTCATGAACGTGACAAGGAGAACACATATGCCCAGGAAAAACACGCGAATGCACATTCAAGAAAAGGTTACAGAGACGTCTACGTGTGTGTAGATGACAGAAATTATTAGTGTTGACTCCTTCTGCTTGTCGGGAAGATGAATGAGCCTATTTCAGAGAAAATAATTCATTAATAGAATGTCAAAAAGTTCTCTTTTTTCAGTCGCAATAATACTTGCTTGGCCTCTGTGCGAACATTCTGATGATTGATGCTTTCTTTTACCCGGCAACCGTTTGCCATGAAGCCCGGCGAGGGTGGGACTCGAGGCTGCGTTCTGCCGCATGATTTGTTCTTCTGCAACAACGCTTCCACTCAAAATGGAAGTAAGCTCAACAATTATGAAACAAGAGATTCCTCGAAACCCAACTTTTCTTTGTATATTCTTCTGCCGTCTTCTCGACCTCCTGAGGGCGAGATCAAAGTGGTGTCTTTTTACATCGCCACCTAAGCTACTCTTCTGCTGTTTACAGTCCTGTTTCCAGGGGTTAGTAGACCATTTCCATGTCCCACAGGACCTTTATTCTTTCAGGCTCGACTCCGGCTTGCGTAAGTGCTTGCGCAAGGCACAGTGGCACAGTGGCACAGTCAGTTGTTGGATGTAAGATTGGCACAAATTCGGTCCTTGAAGCCGGCACAATACGATGAAATGCTGACGTCACAAGGTTGAAATGTCGGAAATTGCTAAATCTGAGCCAGTTTTATCAAAAGGGCCGAATGAAAGGGTGATTGACTGAATAGACTGCAATAAACCTAGCTTTATCTCCACAAGAGAGTAAACAAAGGCTTTGTGTATACTCTCATTCGACGCGTATTTATGATGCATAAAGTTATCAGGGAAAGTAATTCACAAACTCTCAGGCTATTTGATTACGAGGTAACTGACCATAGGCGCTAGTTCACACAACCACTTCTGCACACGCAAGCACAATCCGTGCAAATTCTTGTGAAAATATTGCCATCCGTTGACGGATTAGGTACGGAGTTAATTAGTTGCTGTAAGGCGGTGTACCCAGCACAAACGGCGTCTATCCTGTCGCTTGTACTTTCACGTCGAAATAAAATCCGACGCATTTTTCTTATATAACATATGCGACTACTTGTTTGCATAGCAGTAGTAAATAGGCGAAGCAACATATTTATCTATTTTTTCGCTAT